CTCTCTGGCTTCCCTGAAGGCCCCCTTCAGATCAGTATCTGGGTTGCTATGAGGTATCAGCAAAACCTTCTCTTCTCCAGGCTAAACATCCCTAATTTTCTTAGCCTTTGTAGGGGAGGAGCTCCAGTCCTCTTGTCAACTTTGCAGCCCTCCTCTGGACTTGCTCCAGTGGTTCCATGTCCTTCTTGGAACCCCTTAGCTGGGATGCAGCACTCCAGGTCGGGTTTCACCAGAGCAGAGCAGAATAGAGGGGCAGAATCCCCTCTCTCCCTCTGCTGGCCACTTTCTTTTTGATGGAGCCCAGGATTCCATTGGCTCTGAGCACCCACTGTGTTCATCTGAGTTTTTTTTTAAGTATCACCCCCAAGTCTTTCTCTGCAGGGCTGCTTTCAATCACTTCTCTTCCCATCCTGTGGGTTCTTCTGAGATTGCCACGATCCGGGTGCAGGGCCTTGCACTTTGCTTTGCTGAACTTCATGAGGTTTGCACGGGCCTACCTCTCAAGCCTGTCCATGTCCTTCTGGATGGTATTCCTTCCCTCCAGCATGTCTAACACACCACACCTCTGGCTGTTGTCAGCAAACTTTCTGAGGGTTCATGCTCTATTCCACTGTCCATATCACCAACTAAGATGTTGAAGAGCATAGGCCCCAGTACTGACCACTGAGGGACACCACTTGTCACTGGACAAGGAACAGTTGACCACAACTCTCTGTGTGTGGCCATCCAGACAGTTTTTTATCCATTGAGTGGTCCATCCATCAAATCCTTGTCTGTCCAATTTGGAGATGAGGATGTTGTGTGGGACAGTGTCAAATACTTTGCATAAGTCCAGGTAGACAATGTCAGTTGCTCTCCCCCTGTCCACCAACACTGTATCCCCATCACAGAAAATCATCAAATTTGTCAGGCACAATTTTCCCTTTGTAAAGCCATGCTGGCTGTTATCTATCACCTCTTTGTTTTCCATGTGCTTTAGCATCTTTTCTAGGAGAATCTGCTTCATGATCTTGCCTGGCACAGAGGTAAGACCGACTGGTCTGTAGTTCCCTGGTGTTCTGCTTTTCCTTTTGTATTGGTTTTGCACAGTCCAGTTTTTGGTAGCAGGGGGGCCACAGAGATGGTTCCTGTGGGACGGTGCTGGAAGCTTCCATCATGTCCAGCAGAGCCAATCCTTCATGGCTCTGAAAACAGCCATGCTGCTAGCCAAAAGTGGGCCAATGAGAGAGGTTGGTAATGCCTCTGTGATGACATATTTAAGAAAATCAAAACAAAGTAATGAGTTTTGCTTCTAGTCAGAGAAGAGGAGGAGGTCAGAACATGTGAGACACCAAAATCATTGACTAAGGAGGGGCAGGAGGTGCTCCAGGTGCTGGAGCCGAGATTCCTCTGCAGGCCGTGGTGATGACCATGGTGCAGCAGCTGTGCCCCTGCAGCCCATGGGGATCCATGGGGAATGCAGAGATCCACCTGCAGCCCATGGGGATCCACAGGGGATCCAGAGATCCACCCACAGCCCATGGGGATCCACGGGGGATGCAGAGATCCACCTGCAGCCCATGGGGATCCACGGGGGATCCAGAGATCCACCTGCAGCCCATGGGGATCCACGGGGGATCCAGAGATCCACCTGCAGCCCATGGGGAGGTGCCCACGCTGGAGCGAGTGGATGCCTGGAGGAGGCTGTGATCCAGTGGAAGACCCAGTGGAGAGAGGAGGCCCCTGCTTCCAGGCTGGAGAAGCCTGTCCTTGGAGGACTGGACCCCGTGGGAAGAGAGACCCACATGGCAGCAGTTTTGGGAGGACTGTGTGCCCGTGGGAGGGACTCACATTTGCAGCAGATGCAGTTTGGCTGCTGCTTGTGAGAGTGGACCCAGGCTGAAGAAGTTCACACAGTTCACAGAAAACTGTCTCCTGTGGGAGGGACCCCACGGCCTCACAGGGGATGGACTTCTCTCCTGGAGCAGCAGAAGAAAATCTCAGCGAGGAACTGACCAAAATCCCCATGCCTTGTCTCCCTGCACTGTCAGTGGGAAGGAGGGAGGGGCTGGGGGGAAAACGGTGTTTTAAGGGCTTATTTTACTTCTCATTATCCTCTTCTGATTCTGTTAGTAATGAAATTCACTTTGCAATTTAAGGCGAGCCTGTTTTGTCCCCTGAAGTGTTTCTCTCAGTTGTTATCTCACTCATGAAGCCTTTGTTATTGTTTTTTCCCCTCTCTGCTGCCTCGGTGTAGCAGGGGAGCATGAGCAAGTGACTTTCATGGGTGCCCGGTGTTAAGCCAGTGTCAAACTCTGACACCTTTTTTAAAAATGGGGGTTATATTTATCTTTTTCCAGTCATTGAGGGTTTTACCTGATTGTCACAATTTCTCAAAAATGTTGGCTTAGAAACTTTGCCAGCTCCCTCAGGACCTGTAGATGATTCTTGTTGAGTCCCATAGACTTGTGCACAGTCAAATTCCTTAGATGGCCTCAAACCTGAGAGGGCTCGGGGTCTTCATTTTCCCAGTCCCTGTGTCTGTCTTTCTTGACTTGGGTGGTGTGGGTGGAACACTTGCTGTTAAAGAATGAGGCATAAAAGTCACTGATAACCTCAGCCTTCTCTTTGTCCATGGTAGCCAGGTCTCCCGTTTCCTTCTGAAGAGGGCTCACATAATCCCTGGTTTTCTTTTGCTTGCAAAAGAAACTGTATCTATAGAAGCCCTTTGTGTTATCCTTGAAAGTCTGGCCAAATTTAATTCTAACTGGGCCTTGCCTTCCCTAGCCTTGTCCCTAGCTTGTTGCAAAATGTCCCTGTATTCCTCCCAGATCACCCATCCTTGTTTCCCCTTCCCGAAAGCTTTGTTCTTCTCCCTGCCGTGAAGGCCTCTAGGCATTTTTTCCTGATTTCCCTCTTGTTGGACTCCATTGATCCTGAGCTTGGAGGAACTGATCCTTGAAATTCAGCCAGCATTCTTGGGCCCCTCTGCTTTCCAGGACTCTATGGAGTAGGTCCTTGAAGAGGCCAAAGGTCTGCTCTTCTGATGTGCAGGGCAGTGATTTTGCTGCATGTCCTTCTCACTGCCCTGAGGATCTTTATCTCCACCATCTTGTCAGCACTTACAGTGCCTTGGAGCACTGCATTCCCCACCAGCTCCTCCTTGCTGGTGAGCACAGCGTCCAGCATGGCACCTCTCCTTGTTGGTTGCTCAATCACTTGTGTAAGGAAGTTGTCTTTGACACATTTGAGGAACCTCTGAGATTTCTTTTGCCCTGTCATGCTGTCCCTCCAACAAAAACTGAGGAGGTTGAAATCCACCACAAGGAGCAGGTACTAAGAGTGTGCAGGCACCTGTCTGCCTATAGAGGGTTTCATCCTCAGCATTCTCCTGACTGGGTGGCCTGTAGCAGACTCCCATTACAATATCCCCTGTCCCTGCCCTCCCCCTTAATCTTCACCCACCAGCTCTCAGCAAGCTCCTCATCCTTTCCCAGGCAGGGTTTCAGACTCCTCAGCTGGTCACTGACATAAGGGCTACCTTCCCTTCTCGTCTCCCTAGCCTGTCCTTCCCAAAAAGCCTGAAACCCTCCATTCCAAAGCTCTAGTCACTGGAGCCATCCCACCATGATGCTGATGCTGTCATCCCCAAGCAGGTGTGTGCAAATCTTTAGCTCTTCTTGTTTGTTCCCCATACTCCAGGTGTTTGTGTAGAGGCATTTGAGCTAGGCCCTGGATAAAGCCAGCTTGCTGGCTGGAGTATCTGGGATGCCTCTGCATTATCTTCTTATATTTTTAAAATATCTTTAAATATTTTTTTTAGGCGCACAGAGGAGAGGAAGAATGGGAAAATTCACTTGAAATAAGTTGATAATTAGGCAGCAGCAGAAGTGGAAACAGTTTTAAAATTATTTCTTCAGAAGGATAAATAAGATCAGATAGAATGGAATGAAAAAAATGGGATTTTGTGCAAACAACTATGCCCATTATTTTTTTCCTGAGCCAAACTGTCTGCAATACAGAAGATTGGGCCTGAGGCATCAACACTGTGAGTCAAATTTCAGGCTTAAAAGTTTCAGGCTGGTTGATTCTAAGGATTTTCTGTAGGCCCAGCTGTGTAGTAGAAGTGATCATGTTCAAGGCCACTTGAATGTGTTAAATTGTTTAGAAGAAGTAGAGCAGAGAGAAAGTCTTATGCCAAGATGCTTCACTGAATCACAAAACTGGAGAGAAACAGGCAACTTCCTAAAGCAATGAAGGCTCCTGGACATCTGGGGTGTAAAAGAGAAAGTTTTGTGGCACTTTAGGACAAAAGCAGATTAACTGGAATTATTACGAATTAGAAAGAAGAATTTAAGTTTGTATACTACAATGGCTCCAGCACTAACTGGAACAACATTTTTAAAAAATCATGTATTGCCTGACAATCTTGCAGAATGAGGTACACATGTTCTTTAGCATAGTATCTCCAAAGAGAGTGCTTTCCTTGCAATATGGATCTGTGCAACTAAGTAACCTGATTCAAAAATACTGCCCCAGCTACCCCAGCATAGTGGAGATGAGCACATGCACATGTTCTTTAGACTTTAACAGTCCATTATTGAAAGAAACATGCTTCTGTATTGCACAATCTAAAGCCTGTTTTGATTTCAAAGGATAATTGCTCTGTTGGACAAAAAGATTTGTTTCATTTTCTACAACTCTTCTTATTATCTATGTCCCCAGTTTTGTAAAATAATGTAATAGGTTAATTGTGAGCCTGAACTGCTCTTGACAGTACTTTCCTACAATACTTTTTAGACTGAGCAATCCAATTTATAAATCCATGAGGTGGAAAACCCATACTCTCTGTTTTATGAATAAAAGTTGGACATCTGGAAAACAGAAATCTCCTGCAAAAGTCTAGATCAGAATGAGAGAGATGAGTTTTCCTGACTCTCCTGTGTGTGCCTTAATTACAGGAGCTTTCTTGTTTTTATTTTTTGTGGGTTTTGTACCTTTTCCATTGATTTTTTCCCCCCTTGTGGCCTGCATTTTTCCACTGTTTTATCCAACAGTGAACTCATCTGTGTTCAAAGATATCAACAAGCATTGTATATAAAATTACTCGTACAGAGTGGGTTTGTACATTTGTGATTAAGAAATGTACAGGGAAACACTGTGTGTTGGGGAAATTACCCCAAAGAGAAATTGCAGGAGTCACACACTGGAGCTAAATGAATATCCAAAGTGGCAATGAGGGAAAGCTAAAGGACATAATCCACAAAACGCTGAGTGTATGAATTACAGCCCTTAGCTAAGCCTGATTTGTAAGGCTAGCACTTACACAGCAGATAACCCAGGCTGACAGTGACCTTGACAGCACAGCAACAGTAATGTTTTCTGTAAAGGCTGGACAGCTTTCAGCCCGTTTCTCCTGAGTAGGAGCTACAAGCACGCTTGTGTGCAGCAACGTGGACCACAGTAATCCTCTGTATGTGCCCGTCGATGATACAAACAGAATATGCCTCTTTGGGCATGACAAATGCCTCCGTCCCTTCTTTCTTCTGCACTTGATAAGAGCCATTTGAGGAGCATAAAGAGCTTTTCCCTAGAGCATGAGTCCCCTTTCTTCCCTCTTTCAGTGTAGAGCTGAGCAGCGATGCAGTGCAGAGGGGATCTGGTTCCAAGTCTACTGAGCAACTGCAAGTATTTTGTGATCTTCTCAACCAATACATCTGCCTTTTGGGAACTGCAATTGATTTTCTTCATTTCTCCATGTGAAGACAATGCTTCTACACTATGTTACAACTACACAGATAGGTAAATTGTAAGTGCTTTCCCTGCAGCTCTTCTTTAAGTAAATGTTAGTGAAACTCTGGTTGGTAGTCTTTTGTGGAACAAATTGCTGGGTGGACTAAAAAGTTACAAGTAAAAGCAATATGAAAGTTTTTGGTTGATAGTTCTCTCTTCCCTTTGCTGCCAAGACCTGTGTTTGCAGTACTCTGCTTTTCTCTGGCTACAGCTGATATTCTGCATCAAGCTGTGAGGAGTGCTGTTAACTCTCTGGAGCAGTGACGCAAATCCTGAAAAATCCACCAAGGGAATGGGCGGTGGCAAGACCAACAGATTGCTGCAAGGAGTGGAGTGTCCTTTGAAGGCTACATCTTATGTCCCACCCTTTGATGAGCCTTCATTTGACTTTGATGGAAAAAGTGCCCTTGTAGCTGAGTTTCAAGTGCATCTGTTATATTGCCAGCAGACAGTCTGGGCTGACTCTAAAGTGTTTGCTCTGTTACAAAACAAAAACAAAACAAAGCAAACAACTCCAAAAACAAAGCCACAAACCAATCCCATTGACAGATTAAAGTAAAGGGGAAACAACTGAGAGAAGAGACATTCTAGGGGGAACACAGCTTCCACAAGTCCCGCACAAACTTGGGCTTTGCTCCCTGCAGAGTCTTTCAGTTGCTTCTGTGAAGGGAATAAGAACAACCTTAGTAGTTGGGGTTTGCTATGTGTTTGCTTTAAAAAATACTTGCACTGTGAGCCTTAGTTTCCATATCTGTAAATGGGAGCAATTTGGTTCAAGTGTTGCCCTGTGTGAGAGGCAGGGAAATTGACAATGTTTGCAACTTTTCTGCTTGGAGCTGAAAGGAACTTTTTGCCCTAACTGTCCTTCAGGGTAGAGAACAGCAGGCTTGAGCTGGATATTACTGTTAAGGGAAAAAGGCCCTGCTCACAAGAGAAACTGGATTAATAAGAATTAGTAAGAAGAAAAATTCAGAAGTCTCTGTAAATGTTGGGGTCTAGACCAAGCACCTGTAACACAAATGTGTGACTGTTCCCACCCACTCCCTTTTGCTATTTTTGTCCCATCTGAATTCCAGCTCTGCCAATTCATTCTCACATCTGTTCTCAGACTTGGTATCAACACCGACTTAATCACATTCCTTCCATCTACTGAGATGGAAATGTAGGGCTATGTAGAAGCCAGGACAAGTTAACCCCTTCCCTTCATCAGCACCAGATAGCACACCTCTCTTGACATGTACTTGCTGGTGTTTGGATGGGCAGCAGAACTGATGGGGCTGTCAGTTCTCCAAGTGGAGAGTGTGCTGAGAACATTACTGCCAAAATAGCCTGGCTGGCACACACTGAGAGAGGTCTGGAGGGGCAGCAGTGTCTGGGGCTCTGTGAACAGGAGCACAGCCAGCAGATCAAGCAGGTTCACCTCCTCAGCTCAGCCTCTCAGACCACACCAAACTCCATCACCCAGTTCCAGACCCCCAGAATTGCCCCCAAGGCAGTCAGGGCTACAGTGTTGGTCCTGCGAGGAGAGGCTGAGCAACTGGGGCTTGCTCAGCCTGGAGAAGAAATGGGTTTGGAGAGGCCTTAAAAGCTGTGCCCCAGTAAATATGAGGCAGGTATCAAGAAGAAGGAGCCAGGCCTTTTACAGTAGTGCATGGTGGGAAGGTGAAAGGGAATGAGCATAAATGTAATGAGAGTAGTTCAGACAGGAATATTATTTTCCCCTTTGAGGACAGCCAAGCAGTGAAACAGGTGTTTCACAGAGGCTGTTGAGTCTGCATCCTTCAAGGTTTTCAAAATTTAACTGAGCAAAGCAACTTGGTCTGATCCCAAATGTTACCTTGCTTTGAGCAGGAGGTTGGAGTAGAGACTTCCTGAGGTCCCTTCATACCTCAGCTATCCTATAAATCTATACTTTTCATGTCAGAGAACATTTATTTATTACTACTCTTCATTTTCATTACACTATGAATGGACCACCCCAAGACATCTGCTCTCTCCCAGTAATAACCAAAAGTCTCTCAGTCAAAATTTTTAGAACACAGTATGAAAAGTAACTGTGGGATAAAAGAAAAAAAAAACAAACTATGGACAATTATGCCTCAAAAATTAGAATTCCAGTAAAAAGGCAACAAACTTGATTATTTAAACTTTACTTCTTCACCCAAGGGCAAACACACAAGATACATGGGATGCTATCAGAGGCATTTCTCTGTGTTCTGGCTTTCCTCAATATGAAATAGATCTGATGGTGGCCCTTGCAGGAATTCACAGTCTCCAGTACATCTTGTATTTGAATTTTCAAAGTGTTCATAAAATGTGACATTTAATAAAGACTGTTTTTGTCTTCATCACATCCCTGAGTCACAGAACTCTGTGACAGCACATGCACACTTGGGGGCTCAAGGAAGCAAGCACACGGTCTCATGTTTTTTTGTTCTGTGCAGCACTTAACCATACTGGGTTTTACATGTGGATAAAAACAAACAAAATAAATTCCTAACCTGTGTCACACTGTAGAAAAAGAGCCAGCCTCATGTTTACATCAGCCTTTATCATTGCAGACATCAGGTCTTGGGAACTGCTGCCTTGTGGAGCAGTTCAGAAGGAGGTTCACTGCTCAGGGAGCTGCAAATCCACTTTTCTGGCTGGGGGAAGCATCTTCCCCTTCTCCCTACTCTTTCACTCAGATCCCATCCTTGGGCTTGCAACTGTGCCCTTAAATTACCAAAAGCTGAGATTCCAAATCAGATGCTGGGACCTTTGTGCTAGGGTGAAAAACACTGGTCCTGAGGCCACATCTTTTAGCTAAACTCTTTTAAACATGCATTTTGCAAGACCTGTTACCCAGAAACTCCTTATTGCTGTCTTTTTTCCTAGGGATAGTAGCAGGCCTATATTAAGGACTATGAAGTGCCTTAATATTACAGTAAGTGCCCAGGATAAACAGCTGATCTGTGTGGGACTTTTGGGAGGACACCTGGTGCCCAAGAAGAAATGAGAGATTTGTACACAGTAGGAGTTCTTTTGTTAAGTGCATAGTGCAGTGTCTACAGGCAAATCGGGTTGCCAGGCCCTCTGTCCTACTTACTACATAAATACAGTCAAGTGGATTAAGATCCAGGCCATTGTCACTGGTTGACTGCCTTTTACTTAAAAGGACTAGTTAAAGTGTTCCTTCCCTTGGGAAACAAAAATAAACTACTCTCCCGTGCTACTTCCCCCAAAACGTGTCCAACATCAGTAAAACAAGACAAGCAACTCTCCTACAGCTCCTAAATAACCTAACTTGGCAAAGTTTGTAATGACCCTAGAATAAGAGATTCTCCCCTCAGTTCATGCTTCTTGTCACCTAAGTAGGTGTCAAATCTCCTGGGTTTGTCTTCAGACAGCTTCTTTCTATTTCACTCCATCTTAAGAGCTCTAAGTGTCTCTGGCAAATTGTGCTGGTACATTTCTATTAACATTAGCAAAAGGGGGAAAGAAAAGCCAGCTCGGCTGACAACAACTATCGGTGTATGAAGATTAATCTTTATATAGCATGCAGAACATGGATCTGTTCTACATCTTCCAGAACAGCCTGTACTTTGTTTCTGCTCCTTCTCAACAACAGCCTTCATGCAAAATAGAATTAAAATTAAAATCACTGTATTTTAGCATTGCTATGTTCACACTGCTATTCTCTCAGGCTTCATAATTCATGTTGTAGTTAGCAATCTACTTCTCTTTCTGCTAGCAGCACAGGGGACAAGTGAAGCTACTCACTACAAATTCTAGGAAAGACAAAATACAGCTTTGTTCCACTGTCCTGGGATGACATCCACTTCAAAGAAATAGTCACAGGTTACCTAATTAGCATCTTGTAGTGTAGAAAGAAAAGCTTTTGCCATATTAAATAGCAACACATAACCAAAGACATGGGAGGCCTACCCTGACATAAACACAATGGCATGGCAAGCGTTAAAACTTTGTGTATGGTAAATTAGAGCTTTGAAAAACATCTCAGTTGGGAGCAATTTTGGAAATTTTTGAAACATGAATTACTGACTTTTTTCCTCCTCCCCCCTTTAAACGGTCTGGGAGGATTGGTCGCCTTGGAGAAAAAAAAATAAAGTGTCGACACTTGACATACTCAATCCATCCATAAACGTAAACACTCTTGAACTGCAGTGAGTTTTTCTTATACTAAAGAGCATGTGGAAGCAATTACCTGAATGTAGATGTGATAAAGAATGGATGAAATGCAAACCAAATGATGCCTTATTACTTAATATAAAGAGACTGTTCTGCGAGATCAAAGTTGTGCAGCACAAAATGTAATGGGCTTCACTGGAAGGATAGGCTTCAGAGATTTGTTTAAAACACAGATGCATTTTGATGAAATGCTAAGTAGACAAAATTAGGGTAAGTTTAAAGAGTTTCCCAGTACCTGATCTATGATCTTCAATAACATCTTTACTCTCCTCCCACTTTTTGCTGCTCTGTGCCATTCCCAGATGCTGTGAGGCTAGCAATGAGAAACTTCCCTGGCTTCATCGTGGCTGGGGATGAGAACTACTCTATCCAGAGATGTGGAAGAAATGTCACCATCAGCATCCCCTGTGGACATGGGAAAGGCTTTCTCTGTACATTTTCATCAACCCCTTGCACTGCAGCCTCCCTGTGCCTCAGCCATCACTCTGTGCCCGGTTGCTACCTCAGCACATATTTCTCCTTTGAGTCAATATGCTCAGGAAGGGCAGTGAGATAACCTTTCCCAGAGACAAAAATACTGAAGCAGAACAGAAGTATCAAAACTAATTTCTAAATGTTTTCCTACCGCAGGCCATATATTAAAATACAATTCCCATCAAGATCCTGCTTTGTACTTCACCATCTTCTCTAGTGTTAGATTTACTTCTCTATTTCTTTTTAATGATTTGTATTTTTAAGAAGCTGCATGCAACAAAGAGAAGGCATGTTGGGAAAGTGGGGTTGTGGTTTCTGTATGATTCCACAATAACATCTGAACTGGTTCTCCTGCCTTGCCTTGTCTTCCCTCCCACGTGCCCCCACACTCCCCCTGCCCAGGAGCTGCTGCTTATTGCTTTTGCCCAAATGTTGCTTCTGATCATGTAGATTTGATCATCTTTGTCTGAAGTCTGTAGAGTAGCTCAATGATTGACAGTGATGGGTCCCCCACAACATAAATCAATGAGCAATAAAGTTAAGTATCCAAGTCAAGGGTAGAGAAAGGGAGCTGACATTGAACTGTAATCATTAATTAAAAAGGAGGAAAAAAACCAGGAGCACATTTAACTAGGAACATTGGGTCTTGAGTTACTGAAAGGAATAAAAAAATAATGCAAGTATGAAAGGGCATGTACAGAGTTAATGCTGCCTATCTCCCACAGCATTAGGTCTTTAAAAGAAATCATATATGTTAAACTCCCAAAGAGACTATTTTCTTTTGTTTTTCAATTACATGTGATAATGGGGAACATTTTGTGAATGACTCTGATGCTTATGCCTCCAATAAAACCCAGGATACTGTACCTCATTCATGCTTATTTAACGACCTCGTAAAGAAAAGACCCAGCAGCACCTTAACAAAATTATGATTGAACGGGACATTTTCCCTTCTCACCAGCTGAAGAATTGTTAAGTATTGCTATTGAAAACTCATTGTTATGCACTATTTTTGCAGTGGCCACAGTGTTCAAAGCAGCTTAGGAAGCAAATATAAAACACACTTGCCACCACAGAGAACACAGGGTTTACAGTGGCTTTGATCATACAAGCACTAATCCTTTCATTTTAGAGGGGTTATTCACAGGCATAAATATTAAAATAATACCAAGTATTGCCACTGTCAGATCATAATTAGATGTGAACATGACACATTGCAAGACAAAAGAAAGGTGAAAAAATGTAATGATTGAGTACAGCTCACCTGGGTGCTGTAGCAGCTTTCCTGGTTTCCCTTTTCCGTCCTTTCCATCTTGCTTGGAGTCAGAAACCAGAGGCCTGGAGACAGCCAGGAAAAACAGGGTGGGGACTGGTATCAGTGTTAAACTGGCAGCAGCATGGAGTAATGGCAGCGTGGCTAAAGCACCCATTGGCTCGGAGAGTCACTTTCTTACAGCAGAAATTCATCTTGCAAAGATGACCTTAATCATCTTACTTACACTGTTTAATCATTCCTTTCCACCACTATTTTTACCCCCCCCCCAACTAGACAAATAAAGGATTTGAAGCTGCTCCTTTGCTTACACATCAGCAAGTTGTCATCGCTGCAGTGGGAATGGGTTCAGGCCAACATCTCCAGCTCAAGAGCAAGGCTGAGCTGGCAGCACCTCGTTAGCTCATTAGCCTCATTACCTGTGGCTAACGGTCAAGTCACAATAATTTGCTGTTATGTGGATCATATGTTTTGGAGCTCATTTTGTGCCCTGCAGAGCACTGCCGGTCCATCGTTTCAGTCACTGCTCAGTTTTAAAAACAAAACCTGGTGACGATGGGGAGGATGCACCACCACCTCTATTACTGCTGGCACACAGGCTTATTCTGGGAGATCTGCCTCATTCAAAACACACTGCATGGTCTTGTGCTAGTGTAGTCTGGTTTCTTCCTTCCTACAGGGCTGTATGAAAGTGAATCATTGTCCTTAAAGGTTTTTATTTTTTAATTTTTTTAAAATTATTTTTTTTTAGTTTAGTTTGTTATTTTCTTTAAACTTGAGGGCTTTTTCTGGGTTAATATTTGCACTGTGAGATTTTTGTTACTCTTCTGGGTTTGAGCTGTCAATGATTTTAGTGAAAGGGAAAGGTTTTAGTTGTGGAGATTGGCTTCCCTTTAGGATGCTGGTTACAAGCTTAGTGTGTTTGTAACTACAGATACTGCAGGGCAGGACATCTCTGTCATTTAAAAAGCCCAAATACACAGAGTCAGTTTTGTTATGCCATTCCCCTTAAATTTCCAATTAAGTAAATGTGTCTTCCTGTGGGATTAATTCACTGCTCCAAATCCACAGAGCCTGCTCCATGCATGCAGCACCTGGTAACTGCTTTGATTTGACACAGATGTAACCATGAGCAGAACCCATCCTCAGCCTCCAAATCTGTTGTGAAAATAAGGTGTTTAATTACCTGGATGAGAAACTGAAAAGCTTCTAATGACAGCAGCTGAAAGACTTTTCATTTGCATAATGTACCAGGTGACCCTGAGTATGTCCATTTTAGGTGGCTGAATTCATTGACCTGAGAGACAGATTTCAGGTTTTTTCACCTGACAACACCCAGTGCTTCCTGGTAGGGGAGACCCTTGTGGTCTGACAGACAGTTTCCATGTGAGAAGGTAATGGCTGTACTGACAGACTGGCAGGCAAAGGGAGGTCTGTCTGTCCTGGAGAGGAGCACTCTGGCTAGTAGCAGACCCACTCCTCCAGTCCACATTTTACATCAATTAGAAATTAGCTGCCTCGAGCTCTGGAGCCCCCAACACAAGAAGGATGTGGACTTGCAGGAGTGAGTGCAGAGGAGACCATGAAGATTACCGGGGACTGAAGCACCTCTCCTATGAAGACAGGCTGAGACAGTCAAGATTGTTCAGCCTGGAGAAGAGAAGGCTCCAGGAAGGGCTGGCTGGTTAGAGAAGCCTTACAGTGCCTAAAGGGGGACTGCCAAAAGAGCTGGAGAAGGATTTTTATAAGGGCATACAGGGATAGAACAAGAGGATTTTGCTGTAAACTGAACATGGCTGGGTTTATATTACATACTAGGATCAAACTATTTACTGTGAGGGTGGTGAGGCACTGAACAGGTTGTCCAGAGAAGCTGCGGCTGTCCCATCCCTGGAAGTGTTCAAGGCCAGGCTGGATGGGTCTTTGAGTAACCTGGTCTAGTGGAAGGTGTCCCTGCCTAAAGGCAGATGGCTGGAACAGATGATCTTTTAGGCCTGTTCCAACCCAAATCATTCTATGCTTCTCTGTTTCTATGAAATCTGTGTGCTTGCCATGTCCCCTGTGGACTGATGGTGCTTCAAGAACCTCAAGAGTGATCCTGGTGGCCTTGCTGATGTCTATGCTTAATTACTGGGTTTGGATCTGAGAGGATGCTGGGAGGGATGTGTGAGGATGGGAGGCAACCAGGGCTGGGCATCAGTCCAGAAACCAGATTTGGAGCCTCTGCTCCCCGCTAAATAAAAAGCATCAGGTTGTGAAGGCAGCTGGAGAAGGTGCTCCATCACTCGCTGACATGGGGTGCTTTTTTCTGCTTTCAAGACAACTCTGATGCCTGGCAACTGCTGTCAAGTCAAATATTAGACCCACTTCTGCAAGCAACTGCTTGTCAATCCCACGTGCCCCAAGAGGAGCTGCAGTATCTGTTCTCCACAGCTGTGGATATGCAATTGTATTGTGAAGAGGCAATCTTTTGTCACTCGGAAATTCACCATTTCATTTCCTTTTAAAGCCTTTTCAGGGGTTTTCATTTCCTTTTAAAGCATTTTCAGGGAAGGTTTTTTTTCCCCCTTGTGTATTGAGTGCTTTCCTTAAAGTAAAAAAAACAAAATAGGTTCATCTCCAAAGAGATGTGAGAAGCAGTTTTGGGGAAAACTAATGCTGAACAAAAGTCTCAGCTAAAAACATGAATATGTGACAGAAGGCTGTGATGGCACACGTGCTGTCTCAACAGTGTGTGGGGTGCCCAGGGGGTACCCGAGGCTCCAGAACCACTCTGTGTGTCCTTTCAGGCCACTTCATTGTTCTCTTCTGCTTTTTATGGCCACATCACAGCTTCAGAGAGCAGACCTCACCCGCTTTTTAACTTGACCTGCGCAGCCTAATTGCGTGAGGACACAGCCCAGTCTGCAACATCACAGCTACTTCCATGGTGAATTGGATTTGTCAGTCTCTGGGCTGTGGTCTTATAATGTGCTATATTATTAAGTTTCTTTGCTTTAAGTTGCCAGCTAATGGAATAACCTCTTTGTCTTTATTAGAAAGAGTCCACAGCTTTATTAAGTTACATAATTCACAACCAATAGTGTAATCAATAAAACATTAACAAACATGTAACCTTAGACAAACCTCACATATTGATTTATTTAAACATTCTCACAAAGCCTGTCTTTGGCTGAAAAAAAATTCAGTCCCAGTGGCAAGCCCCAAAAACATTTAGTGCATTAAGGTGTGGGCACTGGAGGACAAATTGAATTGGCTTCCTTGGAAATAAAGCTGGCTCTCCCCTGGTCTTTGTGCATCTACCTCAGAATCACTATTTTTTGCAATTTGGAAGGAAGCTCCAATCTTCCCTTTTATGCCTCATCTGTGCAAGGAAAATACTGTGTGTTGCAAAATACAGTGGTTACTGCATAGTTAAAAATGAACGAACAGAAATAATCTCTTATTGAATGGACAAAAATGGATACTGCAAATCCTGTATTACCTGATGGTGATTAACCCTGGGGATTCTCAGGTAGACTGTAAGTAGCTGACATAGTATCAAGCTTGACCTAGCGCTGCGTCTGCATTAGGTAGGAAGTTATGTTTAACATCAGGTAAGAGACTCATTTTTCTAGCACAAAACTTAATGTAAATATATTTTACAACTGTAAAAAAAAAGTATCTGACGCCTCTTGAGTGCAGTTGGATGATACTGATATACCTGCAGTTATGCTTTTGATACAATCAGGAGAGGTAGTATTGTATTATCCCTACCTCTCTATTCTCAAGACTATGTGAAAAAAAAAGAACCCAAATCATCAGACACTTTCTTGCAGGGAATCTGTGTGCGTTATCACACTACAGAATTGCACCAATGATAATTTCACAGGTAATTTAGGACTAAGCTGGAGGAAGTAGCAGAAAAAGCATCTCAGGGATGCACCAGCAAGGATATAGAACAGATGTGCATCTGCTCCATCTTTAGTTTCAATGATTCAGTGAAGACTTACATATAGTTTCTGGAACAATTAAGTGCTTAATCTTTTTGTAACCTATATCCTTGGGCGGTACATTTATGTAAGGAAATTTTTTGGACTTTGCTTTCCTTTAAAAACAGAATCATCTACTCATTTTGCAAGACTCTGAAAGGTTTCCTTGTCAAAAGGGATGTAGGTGAGATGGAGGAATAAAGCTTCTCAGCAAATGTTGGGGACTAGTGTGCAGAGTTCCCATGTCCCCTTTGGAGACTTTATCATTTAACAGCCACAACTCTCCTTTATTAGATCACTATAAAACAAGTGCCTGGAGGGAGTTAGAAATGAATTGAATTTTGTAGATTTAAATGATTGTGTGGGACCTTTTTGGCTTAATATATACCCTGGAGAGGTTTGCTACTAGAACTTGGGAACTTTATAATAAGAATAATTCCTTAGCTAGAGATCTTTATCTGGTTACATTAATGATTCACTGGGGGGTTATGCTGGAAAATGAAGGGAAATTTTTTAAAAAGGCTATTAGATCAAATGTTCTTATAGAGACATGCACAGAGATGGTCAACAAAGATTTATAGGCTGGTGAGATAAGGAATTTATTGCCTTTGTGCTACATGCACAGGGCAACAGGCCATTTCAGGAGGTCCCTCCTGCGCTCCTGCTCAGGATTGTCTTCAGCTCACAATCAGCACTAAACAAGGTAAGTTTTGCAGGCCACACCCTGCTTATGCACTGCAAAATACACACATAGCAAGGGAATTCATGTAAGTAGTGGGTATAGCTTCCTTAGCTTCAAAGATATGCGCCAGACTCTGCATCCAGACCTATATTTTACATCCCTGCCTTTATCCCAGAGGTTTTGCAATGCTATTCCTCATCTCCAGCTCTGCTACATCAGTCCCAGCATGGACTATTTATAGTCACCATAGCTCCTGCTGGATTTAGTGGATGCTCAAGGTCTCTAAATAGCAACTGTGTGGTCTCCAAGGATGTGCCATTTGGAGAATGCAGACTCTGCTTGTTCTTTGCCCATGCAAAACATTTACCGCGTTTCTGCCATTTACAGCTGCCACTGCAATGGGCTTTGAAGACCTGTTTCCTATATCATGTGGTTTTACCTGTGGAGACAACTCACCAGTTTTAATGGTAATATCAGGGAATTGAAGAAACAACTACAATCTCCATGGCTGAAGCTAAGCATCCAAAAATAGCAAGCTATTAGGAACACGCGGAGTGGCATTTTAGGGCTGAGGAGGGTGATTTTTTTAATCCAGCAAGGGTGAATTCCCATTGACAGTCAATGGAAAGGAAAACTGAACAACACTGTAGCCTTTGCAAATCCAGGCAAAAATGGAAACAAATGAGGTCACA